GTCACTCCTGTATAATATATCTTATATCTGGAGGGCGGTGATGTCACTCTGTATAATATATCTTATATCTGGAGGGCGGTGATGTCACTCCTGTATAAATATATCTTATATCTGGAGGGCGGGTGATGTCACTCTGTATAATATATCTTATATCTGGAGGGCGGTGATGTCACTCTGTATATAATATATCTTATATCTGGAGGGCGGTGATGTCACTCCTGTATAATATATCTTATATCTGGAGGGTGGTGATGTCACTCCTGTATAATGTATCTTATATCTGGAGAGCGGTGATGTCACTCTGTATAATATATCTTATATCTGGAGGGAGGTGATGTCACTCTGTATAATATATCTATATCTGGAGGGCGGTGATGTCACTCTGTATAATATATCTTATATCTGGAGGGCGGTGATGTCACTCCTGTAGTAGAGGCGTCTCCCAGCTCACTGTAGCAGATGTCGGATATAATCAGGTTGGAGAATCTCATATATTTTCTGTCTCAGGAATTATAAAGTCTAAAGGTAAACAGTCCCCGAGGATTCACGAGCTCCCGTGACGGATGCTTTCCAGTCCACCAATCGGAGCGCTCTGTTTGATACCATCGTGGATTCACCAGTCAGGCGCCTCACGGTGAAAGACGTTTTGGTCCACACCGATTTTGTCCCAGCTGAGAGGGTAAGTGAAAGGCCCGCTATGGTAAAGAATATGAAATCCTAGTGATTGTATGGAGGGAAGACCCGGAGGGGATCAGATTCAGTCCAGAAATTCAATCCAAGATGGAAAATACCCGGATTGGCCATTAGATGGTGTCAAGTATCATAGGAAATTCCAATGATACTTAGCGCCATCTAATGGCCAAATGCAGTATTCTTCATTTTAAGATCAAATCAACCAGCACAGGACATAACCTAACATTTGTTTTTTTTACATTTTTGTTTGTTTTTTTATTTTGTCCTTTCAATGGGCGAATTGCAATGCATTTTTTTTTATAAATACACCCCATATTGGCAACCTTTCACTTTGAGGAAGCAAGATTTACATTGGAGGATCAGGAGGGTTTCTGAGGACTTTTGTCACCAATCAACAGTTACAGTAGAATTAAAGGCATTTTGTATAGAGTAAGGGGGAGGGGCTATAACCCCATCTGGTTTTTTTTTTTTACCATCTTTTCCATTGGGGAGATTTCCCTTCACTTCCTGTCCCAATGGCCAAAACAGGAAGCGAGGGAAAATCCTTCCAAAGTGAGGGAATCCCTGAACTAGTGTCCCCATTGGAGGATTTCCCCTCTATTCCTGTTCTGGTGACAACATTAATTGTTGCCCTTTTTTTTCACTCTCTGTGGTAACAGGAAAAGTAGAGAGGATGAATCTCACGAATTTGGCAAAAAAAAACAAAAAACAAAAAAAACCTAAAAAATTAAAAAGGTTTTGCCCTTAGTTATACTTTAAAATGAAAAATACCACATTTGTCCGGTAGATGGTGCCAAGGAAGATATCACACTTGTCCAGTAGATGGTGCCAAGGAAAATACCACATTTGTCCAGTAGATGGTGCCAAGGAAAATACCACACTTGTCCCGTAGATGGTGCCAAGGAAAATACCACACTTGTCCCGTAGATGGTGCCAAGGAAGATACCACATTTGTCCAGTAGATGGTGCCAAGGAAGATACCACACTTGTCCGGTAGATGGTGCCAAGGAAGATACCACACTTGTCCAGTAGATGGTGCCAAGGAAGATACCACACTTGTCCAGTAGATGGTGCCAAGGAAAATACCACACTTGTCCAGTAGATGGTGCCAAGAAAAATACCACATTTGTTCAGTAGATGGTGCCAAGGAAATTATCACATTTGTTCGGTAGATGGTGCCAAGTATAATAGCAAATTCGTATGACATTTATCAACATCTAGTGGCCAAAAGGACTTCCTGCTCCTCAGTTCAAAAATAAAAAAATGTTTTGCCCTTAGTTATACTTAAAAATGGAAAGTACCACATTTGTCCAGTAGATGGTGCCAAGGAAGATATCACATTTGTCCAGTAGATGGTGCCAAGGAAGATATCACATTTGTCCAGTAGATGGTGCCAAGGAAAATAACACATTTGTCCAGTAGATGGTGCCAAGGAAGATACCACATTTGTCCAGTAGATGGTGCCAAGGAAATACCACATTTGTCCAGTAGATGGTGCCAAGGAAGATATCACATTTGTCCAGTAGATGGTGCCAAGGAAAATACCACATTTGTCCAGTAGATGGTGCCAAGGAAGATACCACACTTGTCCAGTAGATGGTGCCAAGTATAATAGCAAATTCCTATGACATTTATTGCCATCTAGTGTCCAAAAGGACTTCCTGCTCCCCAGTTTTCTCAGTTCAGAGTAACGTTTGGCTATAGGGAGACATATCTATATTGGTGGGGGTTGGGAGGGTGTTATTCATTGATTGGCGGTTAAGAAGAGCCGCAGACTGAATCATTCTGTTCTCTTGATGGACCTTTCCTCGCCTGGTTCGGTTCGGTTTGAAGTGCGGTTCATACTCGTGTTTTATATTATTTCGGTAGCCGGGTTTTCATTGTTTGATTTTATTTGTGCTGACGAGGTATTAAAAATTCACTTTACCCCTCCACTAGTATTTCTATCTGCGGCCATCTTGAATAAGGGCAGACGATTCATGTAGCATTTACTTCCTGGAGTCCATCTGCCCTTATCGCAGGTAGGAGGGTGTGCTTAACTGTGAAAGCCCCTCCTCTCCTCCTGAAGACTCCTGGGATGTATGACATCATTGTGGCCTAGGCCAGAAACCAGGAAGTCACTGAAAAAAATTTTGAAAAAAAAAGTTTCAATCGAGTAAATCCAATCTCCCTTCCTATCTATGTACCGATCTTGGCAGCGTCAGGAGAGTTCATGGAGATGGAGAGAGTGAAATTACACTTTACAAATATTCCCCAACAAATTTTTTTTCTCAGCAACCGTCACGACCTGTCGCTGAGCGCCTGGGCGAATCAGAAGCAGGGAAGCTGCGCCGTAAGCAGGCGATCCTCGAGAAGCAGCAGGAGCAGAAGGAGAGACATCTGCAGTGGGAGGAGAAGAGAGAAGTGAGGAGTCTGGGAAGAAGTACAGCCGGAGCCAAGAGGCGCACAGGTACCGCCATTGTGGAAACTTTCTGCTCCTCCCCATTATACTAAAATTACTGTTCGGGGGGCGGGGCTAGAGGAATGCCCTTTCGCTGTCAAGGTGAAAAGGCCATGCAGCCCCGCCCATCCATGAGCTGCAGACTGCTTCAGCAGCATAGGTTGCAGATTTGATTTGCGCCCCTGCTGACAGCAGAACATTACACCAGACCTCAAATCCACCCTGCTCCGTCTGCAGTCACAGATTGTACAGTGTATGGCCTGCTTTAGAGTCACGAGCTCTGAGTTTTCTTTGTCCAGTTCAGTGTCATGTGGCTGCACTGCAAAAGCAACAACGCCCATGAATCCATAATGTGAAGCATGGTGGAGAAAATCCTCTCCCCCCCCCCGAAACAATCCAGAGACATCGCTAGACTTTCCAATCTTTCCCGATGACATCATCTGACAGCAATGTCTGTGTGCAGGAAGAAGACGCTGCAGCGCCTGCAGAACGAGGAGCGGAAGGCGAAGGAGCGAGAGACAGAGGAGATCACCAGTATAAAGGCCAAGATGGCCGCCAGCGAGGAGTGCAAAGAGCGCAACCAGACGGTGGCTGCCGAGGAGAAGAAGAGAGAACAGCGAAGGATCGATCACCTGAGGAGAGTGCGAGAGAAGATCGACCAGAGGGAGTTCGAGAAATGTGCGACGAGCGAGCAGAAGGAGATCGAGCAACTGGTGAGCGTGAAATCACCGCTATATACTGACACTAGTCTCTGTACCACAGGAGCTTACGCTCTAATGTCCCCTCCCCCGCAGTCCCATCAGTCTGTGTACCACAGGAGCTTACGCTCTAATGTCCCCTCCCCCGCAGTCCCATCAGTCTCTGTACCACAGGAGCTTACGCTCTAATGTCCCCTCCCCCGCAGTCCCATCAGTCTGTGTACCAGAGGAGCTTACGCTCTAATGTCCCCTCCCCCGCAGTCCCATCAGTCTCTGTACCACAGGAGCTTACGCTCTAATGTCCCCTCCCCCGCAGTCCCATCAGTCTGTGTACCAGAGGAGCTTACGCTCTAATGTCCCCTCCCCCACAGTCACATCAGTCTCTGTACCAGAGGAGCTTAAGCTCTAATGTCCCCTCCCCCCACAGTCCCATCGGTCTCTGTACCAGAGGAGCTTACACTCTAATGTCCCCTCCCCCCACAGTCACATCGGTCTCTGTACCAGAGGAGCTTACGCTCTAATGTCCCCTCCCCCACAGTCACATCAGTCTCTGTATCAGAGGAGCTTACACTCTAATGTCCCCTCCCCCGCAGTCCCATCAGTCTGTGCACCAGAGGAGCTTACGCTCTAATGTCCCCTCCCCCACAGTCCCATCAGTCTGTGCACCAGAGGAGCTTACACTCTAATGTCCCCTCCCCCACAGTGACACACCATTATTATTATACGTTTATATAGCTCTGACATATACCGCAGTGCTGTACAGAGAACAGATATTTCCTGTAACAATGTAACATTGTATGATCTCGGTGTCTATGTACTCGGTCTCTCACAGGCAGCCCAGCGCAGGAGGACGGAGGATCACTACAGACAAGTGGCGGGGAAGGTTCTCCTGGCGGAGCAGGGGGGGAGGGGAAGATCTCGGGAGTTGGAGGAGTAGAATTGCATCAATTGGATGATGAAGATATCCAGCACAGCATGTGGGGGTCCTCATGTTCCCGCCCACATTGTTCCTTCGAGGATCACTCCATGTAAATCTGATTCTTCAATAGATGAGCTGTAACGTTCCCGACATTAATAATAATTCGGATGTTTCCGCGGGGAACGACGGATCCCAAATATTCTGATTCTGAAGATCCTCCTCGAGATTTCTCTGCAATTCTTCTAGAATATAAAATGAATGAAATATCAATACAAATAAAGTTTTATTTTACACTTAAATCCGACCTCCATCTTCAGGTGTACTGGCTCCTCCCCTTCAGTCTTGCACAGGTGTACCGGCTCCCCCCTTTAGGCTTGCACAGGGGTACCCCCTCCCCTTCAGGCTTGCACAGGCGTCCCGGCTCCTCCCCTTCAGGCTTGCACAGGCGTCCATGGCTCCTCCCCTTCAGGCTTGCACAGGCGTCCCGGCTCCTCCCCTTCAGGCTTGCACAGGCGTCCCGGCTCCTCCCCTTCAGGCTTGCACAGGTGTCACGGCTCCTCCCCTTCAGTCTTGCACAGGTGTCCCGGCTCCTCCCCTTCAGTCTTGCACAGGTGTCCTGGCTCCTCCCCTCCACTCTTGCACAACTGTACCAGCTCCTCCCCTTCATGGAGGCTCAGCATGTGGGTGTTACTTATGCAAATACAGACTACCTAGGAAAGCTCACTCCTCCAAGCTGACTCCACCCATTAAGGCATTTTAATATCTGCATAACTCCTCCCACTGCCTGCATCAGGACTGAGGGTTCTTGAGAGGAGTACAGAGACAGGGTGCTGGGATGTTTTCAGGAAGCTATGTACAGCACCCTGCCGGCCCCTCCCACTGGCCACAATCTGCTTGCATTGCATAGAGAAGCATAGAGACCCAGTAGTGACATCAATGTATCAAAAATAGAGATTGTAACAAAAACAGAAAGGTTTTATCTAAAAATGGAGGGTGGGGGAGGAACCAGGGAAGGCAAATTAAAAGCAGAATAACTTTTACCTTTCAGTGGAGGAAGGACGAGGAGAGGGGAAGGTTCCTCGGGGGCGTGTCTCTGTGCATTATACAATCATTTTCACTGTTAGACTCGGCTCAGATAAAAGTATAAAATGTTTATTATAAATTACAGAAAAGGAGATCTTCACAGGTGTCGCCCCCCGCTGGCCAGCAGCACAAATTACACTCTATTACTAATACAATCCCAAACGGTTACTAAAAACATTCATTCCACCAACAAACTCCTCCCCCTCTCAGCCGCTATTGGTCAGATCTGTTCAGAGGACGATAAATAAAGTGATTGTCAGATGCAGAGAACAGAAAAAGGTCCCAATTCATTACACTGGAAGCAGCACTCACGGCAGGCTAAGGCGGTCTCTCGGTTATTGTATGCCGTTCTAGCATGCCTGGGTGATACATTTAGAGTCAGTGAAACCCCTCCCCCCCCCAGGCAAGGATAACTGTAGAATCACACAGCGCCATCAGCAGTACAGCCCAATCAGGGCGCTCCTACAGGAGAAGGGCGGAGCATGGCACCGCGGGGATCCCCAGTGATCGGCCAATCCCGGCTAGACATGAAAAGTCAAGTCAACACTCTGCCCGGGGGTGACGTTCACAATCTGAGTCTGTGCCTGACAGTCCGGAGAGCCGGCGGATATGCGGTACGTTCCAGGGGCCACCTCGATGTAGATGTCCCGGGGGTCCGTCCTCTTCTTGCCAGGCGGTGGTAGGGGGTTGGATGGCAAGTTCTGTGGAGAATGGTACAATGTCATCATAGGATCGGTCACATGACCTTCATTATTACAGCAGTAAAGAGGACCGGTCACATGACCTTCATCAGTACCGTGGGGAAGAGGACTGGTCACATGACCTTCATCAGTACCCCGGTGAAGAGAACCAGTTACATGACCTTCATCAGTACCACAGTGAAGAGGACCGGTCACATGACCTTCATCAGTACCACAGTGAAAAGGATCGGTCACATGACCTTCATCAGTACCGCAGTGAGAAAGATAGGTCACATGATCTTCAACATTACTGCGAAGAGGACTGGTCACATTCCCTTCATCATTACTGCGGTGAAGAGGACCGGTCACATGACCTTCATCATTACTGCGGAGAAGAGGACCGGTCACATGACATTCTTCTCTACTGCGGAGAAGAGGACCGGTCACATGACCTTCTTCATTACTGCGGAGAAGAGGACCGGTCACATGACCTTCTTCATTACTGCGGTGAAGACGACCAGTCACATGAGCTTCATCATTACTGCGGTGAAGAGGACCAGTCACATGATCTTCATCATTACTGTGGTGAAGAGGACCGGTCACACATGACCTTCTTCATTACTGCGGTGAAGAGGACCAGTCACATGATCATCATTACTGTGAAGAGGACCGGTCACGTGACCATCATTACTGTGGTGAAGAGGACCGGTCACATGACCTTCATCAGTACCACAGTGAAGAGGACCGGTCACATGACCGTCATCATTACCGTGGTGAAGAGGACCGGTCACATGATCTTCATCATTACTGTGGTGAAGAGGACCGGTCACATGACCTTCATTACTGTGGAGAAGAGGACCGGTCACATGACCTTCATTACTGTGGAGAAGAGGACCGGTCACATGACCTTCATTACTGTGGAGAAGAGGACCGGTCACATGACCTTCTTCATTACTGCGAAGAGGACCGGTCACATGACCTTCTTCATTACTGCGGAGAAGAGGACCGGTCACATGACCTCCATCATTACTGTGGTGAAGAGGACCAGTCACATGATCTTCATTATTACTGTGGTGAAGAGGACCGGTCACGTGACCATCATTACTGTGGTGAAGAGGACTGGTCACATGACCTTCATCAGTACCACAGTGAAGAGGACTGGTCACATGACCATCATTACTGTGGTGAAGAGGACCGGTCACGTGACCATCATTACTGTGGTGAAGAGGACCGGTCACGTGACCTTCATCATTACCGCAGTGAAGAGGACAGGTCACATGATCTTAATCTTTACCGTGGTGAAGAGGATCGGTCACATGATAATCCCTACTGCGGTGAAGAGGACCGGTCACACCACCTCACCATTTGAAGGTCACTGTGACAACCTACCTCATATCTAATCCTTTACCAAGAAGACCAAGTACATTTATTCCTCTTTGTCGCCCTCGTACACCCGCCTTACACACACCTCTCTCATCTTCCCCCAGTGCCTGAAACACAAGCATATCCGACGTCCACCTAAACAATGGCTCGGCCCCCAACACTTCCTCCATTGTTCCTGGCGTAGGGCCCCTTCAGATGAGAATGAAAAAGGAAAGACACGTCATGTGACCTCATGGGATTGGAGGGACAGGGGTGGAGGGCGTGTCTGACATTTTTATTTGGGTTTTAATAATTTTCTGAGACGGCGCTGCTCACCGGGCGTGATCCCGTCCTCTGCTCCGCCCACTGCGATCTTCTGACGTGAAATCGGCCAATGTGCTGCTTTTCCTGTTCATCGATCCCCCGGGGTGGTATACAGCTGTGATACGCCTGATAGATCAACAACACGGACATCATCAGGAGACCAAATAGATACAATTGTGACGTCGCACTGCCCCCAGCTGGTGATTACTGGTACTGCAGTGACATAGGAGGCCTGATATATAGAATACACATAGGGGGACATTTATGAATTGTGACGTCGCACTGCCCCCAGCTGGTGATTACTAGTACTGCAGTGACATGCAAGGCCTGATATATAGAACACACATTGGGGGACATTTATCAATTGTGACGTCGCACTGCCCCCAGCTGGTGATTACTGGTACTGCAGTGACATAGGAGGCCTGATATATAGAATACACATAGGGGGACATTTATGAATTGTGACGTCGCACTGCCCCCAGCTGCTGATTACTGGTACTGCAGTGACATGCAAGGCCTGATATATAGAATACACATTGGGGGACATTTATCAATTGTGACGTCACACTGCCCCCAGCTGGTGATTACTGGTACTGCAGTGACATAGGAGGCCTGATATATAGAATACACATAGGGGGACATTTATGAATTGTGACGTCGCACTGCCCCCAGCTGGTGATTACTGGTACTGCAGTGACATGCAAGGCCTGATATATAGAACACACATTGGGGGACATTTATCAATTGTGACGTCACACTGCCCCCAGCTGGTGATTACTGGTACTGCAGTGACATAGGAGGCCTGATATATAGAACACACATTGGGGGACATTTATCAATTGTGATGTCACACTGCCCCCAGCTGGTGATTACTGGTACTGCAGTGACATACGAGGCCTGATCTATAGAACACACATTGGGGGATATTTATCAGTTATGACACTAGACCGCCTCATGCTGGCGATTATCGGTACTGCAGGGATATGCAAAACACTGTATTATATTATAGGAAATACACTTTAGGGAACATTTATTACACACTTCCCCACCGCCCTATAGCACAAATACTGCAACAGGGCGGCAGGACTGCGCAAATTCGTGATTTTGCATGCCCGGGTAGGGGGCACGCATACCATTCTACCTGCGCTTCTATGGCTGTCAGTCCCTTAGTCCCAGCCAGAAATTTTCCTTCGACACCCGGCGATCACCGAGTAACACTGACAGGGGAGAGGTCTGTATGTACACAACACAGATCTCTCTCCTGCCAGCATGGACATGCTGCTTTGTATCTCTCTGCACAGCAGCATGTCTCCCAACACACAGGTAACCCTTTGATCGCCCCTCATGGTAACCCCTTCCTGCCCAGTGCCATTAGTACAGTGTCAGTGCTTTGTATTAGCACAGATCACTGTATTGGTGTCACTGGGGATGTCAGTGGCAGTTAGTCAGTTCTCCGCAGTGTAAGAATGTCCACCGCAGTCCCGCTATAAGTCGCTGATCGCCGCCATGACTAGTATACAAAAAAAATCCCAGTATATATACCGCCATTTGTAGACGCTATAACTTTCACGTAAACCAATTAATTTACACGTATCGGGATTTTTTTTTTAGCAGAATACATTTTGGCGAAAATTTATGATGAAATTTTATTTTTTTTAATTTTTTTACTGGACATGTTTAATAGCAAAAAGTCCAAAATATTTTTTAATATTTTTTTTTTCCAAAATTGTCGGTCTTTTTGTTTATAGCGCAAAACATAAAAAACACACAGGAGATCCAATACCACCGAAAGAAAGCTCTAATTGTGGGGGGGAAAAAAAAGGACGTAAATATAATTTGGGAGCAGCGTTGCATGACTGCGCAATTGTCAGTTAAATTAATGCAGCGCCATGTCGCAAAAAATGGTCAGGTCATGAAGTGGGGGGCAAATCCTCTGGAGGGCGAGGGGTTAATGTTACCCTCAGACTGCCCTCTACTGATGGATGCCAGGACTGCAGGACAGACTGTACAAGGCTCTGTAATTATTATAGGGAACATCCAATGTGACAACGCTGCCCCCTGCTGATGATTACCAGTACTGCAGTGACATGAGGCACTGAAACCTATTATGGAGAATACACATTGGGGGTCATTTACTAATTCTGTGATATCATGATACCCCCTGCTGGTAATTATGGGTACTGCAGTAATATACTATACGTCATATTATGGGGAATACATATTGGGGATCAATTATCAATTGTACCTCCAGACTGCCCTCTACTGATGAACACCGGTACTGCAGTGATATACGAGGCAGCATATTATATTACAAGAAATATACATTGGAAGACATTTATCAAATGGGTCATCAGACTGCCCTCTGCTGATGAATACCGGTACTGCAGTCACACATAAGGCACCTAGGGAATACATATTGGGGGACATTTAGCAATTGATCCAGACATGATCTGCCTGGACTGCATAGAGAAGCACAGATACCCAGTTATGACTCCACTGGGTGTAAAATAAGGAATGTCAGATCTCTGTGGACGTCATGTGACTGGCAGCGGCTTACCTTGCAGAGCTGTGTGGTGTGACGCATGAAGTGTGACATGGCGGTGAAGGATTCCTCCAGGGTGACCGGATCCCCATCGTCCTGCAGAGACAACACACAGAAACACACATTGTACAGATCATCCGGTACACACCGAGGACCCGGCCCGGCTTCCCTACAGACTTCATTATGGCTGGTCATACCTCAGCGTCCTGCGTCCGGATCCCCTCCTGTCTGTGTGGGGCCCCCCAGTCCACCTCCCGGCGCCTGGCTCTCTCCAGAACCTCCCTGGACCGCTGAGAGGTCCTCCGCAGAGACTCCTCCATCTGCCTGTACTGAGCCGCCATCCACCATGTCCTATGGAGACAGAGGGAGGTCACATGGAGGAGGCACGAGGCACCAAATACCTCCCCAGTCCCCCCAGGAAATGGCCGCAACACTGGAAGGTGAATATTCCCGGGGAAGGCGGCCTGTGACCGGGGGGGGGGGGGGGATCCACAGACATCACATCCATACAGTCCAGCTTAGGATTCTATACCCAGGATGATAAATACACCCAATACGAGGGGGGGGGGGTAACATACGGGGGGGGGGGGGGGCAGGGATAATACACCTGGGGAGTCCAGTGGTTAAACCGGGGATGGGGGGGGCTGGTGATAGGAGTGTTGGGGGGACAAGGATAACACACCTGGAGGAAAGGGGGGTGCTGGGCTAACACACCTGGGGGGCCCAATCGTTTAACTGGGGATATGGGGGGGCCGGTGATAGGAGTGCTGGGGGGAGGGTTAAAGCACCTGAAGGGGGGGCAGAGCTAACACACCTGGGGGGTCCAATAGTTAAACTGGGAAATGGGGGGGGTCTGGTGATAGGAGTGTTGGGGGGGGGCAGGACTAACACACTTGGGGGAGGGGGGGGCTGGGCTAACACACCTGGGGGGACAGAATTAATACGCTTGGGGGGTACATTGGTTTAAACTGGAAATTGGAGGGGCTTGTGATAAAAGTATTGGGGGGGGGGTCTGGGCTATCACACTTGGGGGGGTCCAATGGGTTAACTGGGGATTGGGGGGAGGCTAGTGATAGGAGTGTGTGTGTGGTGTGTGTGGGGGGGGGGGGGGGGGGCAGGGCTAACACGCCTGAGGGTTCCAATGGTTGAGCTGAAGATGGGGGGGAGTTGTCCTGCGTAGAGTTGGGGGGTCCAATTACTGCCTTTACCGCACAGCCGGCTCCTCCCTCTCACCTCCGATACAATGTATCGCCTCCAGTCACGTGCCTTTCGGGCGGACTAATGACCCCGCCCTGCCCCGCCTATTCGCTGGGACCAGGAGCGTTCCGAGTTGTCTGACGTCACCAGGCCCCGCCTCCCTCCGCCCGGCCGTGCGTGGCTGTCGGGCTCAGCGTTCCACACACAAGATGGCGACTGCCGGAAGTGGGGCGGTAGGAGGGGCCTGACTGAGTCCTGAACTCTGGCTGCAGATAGAATATATGTGATTACGGATCCACCCTCCCAGATATGTTTAGTAAATTGGGTCTATGTATATATAATGTATTTCTTGACAGTCGCTCCATACAACGCAACGGTATAGGGCGCTGACATTACCTGGACGCACCTCGACCTTTCACCTCGCAGAGGCTCCTCCTGGGATGGTCTGGTCAGCAACATCAAATCAGATTCAACACACCACATTATTATTGATCAGAACCCCGGACATCGTATTGTCTGGATTTGTTTTATACCTCTTGTGTGTGCGGGCAATGAGCTCCTCAGGGGTGTGGCCAGACCGGTCAGTCAGGATCCCCTCCCCAAGCAGGGGGAATATGTCAGACATGGGATGGTGATTTATTACATCAACAGGACATACCGCAGTTTAACCCCGCCCACCGCGCCGGGCCATGCAGAAGGAGGAGAAGGATTGGGGTCACGTGTCCTCTGCAATCAGGAATAAAATGTATTCATACCAATGACATGTCACAGACCAGGAGCCACGGAGAGAGACAAGAAATACAGGAGAATACCAGGGACACCGAGACAGTCTGGGGTCAAAGGAGATAAAGGGGGTCACAAGAGTGTCACTGGGGGGTCACTGGAGATAATGAGGGTCATTAGAGGATCACTGGGGTCACTGTAAATAGTGGGGGTCATTCGAGGTTCACAAGAGATAATGGGGGTCATAAGAGGGTCACTGGGGATAATGAGGGTCATTAGAGGGTCACTGGGGATAATGGGGTTCATTAGAGGGTCACTGGGGATAATGGGGGTCATTAGAGGGTCACTGGAGATTATGGGGATCATTAGAGGGTCACTGGGGATAATGGGGTTCATTAGCGGGTCACTGGAGATAATGGTGGTCATTAGAGGGTTAAAGGACATAATGAGGGTTATTAGAGGGTCACTGGAGATAATGGGGGTCATTAGAGGGTCACTGGTAATTACTGGAGATAATGGGGGTCATTGGAGATAACAGGATAACAGGAGTCATCAGAGGATCACAGGTGTCACTGGAGATAATGGAGCTCATTAGAGGGTCACTAGAGATAATGGGGGTCATTAGAGAATCACTGATGTCACTGGAGATAATGGGGGCATTAGAGGATCACTGAGGTCACTGGAGATAATGAGGTCATGAAAGGGTCACTGGGGTCACCGGAGATAATGGGGGTCTTTACAAGATCACTTGAGATAATAGGGGTCCTTAGAGGGTCACTGGAGATAATGGAGGTTATTAGAGGATCACTGGTGTCACTGGATATAATGGGGTCATTAGAGGGTCACTGGGGTCACTGGATATAATGGAGGTCATTAGAGGGTCACTGGGGTCACTGGATATAATGGGGGCCATTAGAGGGTCACTGCAGATAATGGGAGTCATTAGAGGATCACTGGGGTCACTGGAGATAATGGGGGTCATTAGAGGGTCATTGGAGGTAATAGGTTCTTTAAAGGCTCACTGAAGATAATGGGGGTCATTAGAGGGTCACTGGTGTAACTGAAGATAACGGAGGTCATTAGAGGATCACCAGGGTCACTGGGGATAATGGGGGTCATTAGAGGGTCACTGGAGATTATGGGGATCACTAGAGGGTCACTGGAGATAATGGTGGTCATTAGAGGGTCACTGGTAATAAATGGGTTATTAGAGGATCACTGGGGGTCACTGGAGATAAAGGGGCTCTTTAGAGGATCACTGGGGTCACTGGAGATAATGGGGGTCATTAGAGGGGCACTGGTAATAAATGGGTTATTAGAGGATCACTGGGATTACTGGAGATAATGGGGATCATTAGAGGGTCACTGGAGATAATGGGGGTCATTAGAGGGTCACTGGGGTCACGAGATAATGAGGTCATGAAAGGGTCACTGGAGATAATAGGGTCTTTACAAGATCACTTGAGATAATAGGGGTCCTTAGAGGGTCACTGGAGATAATGGGGGTTATTAGAGGATCACTGGTGTCACTGGATATAATGGGGTCATTAGAGGGTCACTGGGGTCACTGGATATAATGGGGGTCATTAGAGGGTCACTGGATATAATGGGAGCCATTAGAGGGTCACTGCAGATAATGGGAGTCATTAGAGGATCACTGGGGTCACTGGAGATAATGGGGGTCATTAGAGGGTCATTGGAGGTAATAGGTTCTTTAAAGGCTCACTGAAGATAATGGGGGTCATTAGAGGATCTCTGGGGCCACTGGAGATAATGGGGGTCATTAGAGGGTCACTGGGGTAACTGAAGATAATGGAGGTCATTAGAGGATCACCAGGGTCACTGGGGATAATGGGGGTCATTAGAGGGTCACTGGAGCTTATGGGGATCACTAGAGGGTCACTGGAGATAATGGTGGTCATTAGAGGGTCACTGGTAATAAATGGGTTATTAGAGGATCACTGGGGTCACTGGAGATAAAGGGGCTCTTTAGAGGATCACTGGGGTCACTGGAGATAATGGGGGTCATTAGAGGGGCACTGGTAATAAATGGGTTATTAGAGGATCACTGGGGTCACTGGAGATAAAGGGGCTCTTTAGAGGATCACTGGGGTCACTGGAGATAATGGGGATCATTAGAGGGTCACTAGAGATAATGAGCGTCATTAGAGGGTCACTGGAGATGATGAGGTCATGAAAGGGTCACTGGAGATAATGGGGGTTATTAGAGGATCACTGGTGTCACTGGATATAATGGGGTCATTAGAGGGTCACTGGGGTCACTGGATATAATGGGGGTCACTGGGGTCACTGGATATAATGGGGGTCATTAGAGGATCACTGGGATCACTGCAGATAATGGGAGTCATTAGAGGATCACTGGGGTCACTGGAGATAATGGGGGTCATTAGAGGGTCATTGGAGATAATAGGTTCTTTAGAGGCTCACTGAAGATAATGGGGGGTCATTAGAGGATCTCTGGGCCACTGGAGATAATGGAGGTCATTAGAGGGTCACTGGGGTCACTGCAGATAATGGGAGTCATTAGAGGATCTCTGGGGCCACTGGAGATAATGGAGGTCATTAGAGGGTCACTGGGGTCACTGCAGATAATGGGGTCATTAGAGGATCTCTGGGGACACTGGAGATAATGGAGGTCATTAGAGGGTCACTGGAGATAATGGGGGTCATTAGAGGGTCACTGGAGATAATGGGGGTCATTAGACGATCATTGGGATCACTGGAGATAATGAGGGTAATTGAAGGATCACTGGGGTCACTGGAGAAACAGGAGTGCTAATATCACTGAAGATACTGAGGGCCATTGGGATCACAGGAGACATTGGAGACACAGAATCACTGGGGTCACTCAAGGTAATGGGGGTCATTGGGCTCACAGGAGCGTCTGGGTCATGGAAACACTGGGAGCTACAGGAAACACGGGGGTCACTTTTTCTATTCAAGGTCATCAGGGTCACAGGGAGCCGGGGTCACTGAAATAAGAGGGACACACTGGACACAAAGGAGCACCAAGAGTCCCTGGAGACACAAGAATGCTGGGACCACTAAAGGGGACACTAGAGAAACAGGAGCACTGGGGTTAATGGGGAGTCACTGAAGATAATGGTGTCGCTGAAGACACTAGGGGACACTTAAGACAGAGGAGAGCTGGGGCTCTGAAGATCATGGGGGTCATCTGGGTCACAGAAGATAATGGGGTCACTAGAGGAGCACTGGGATCACTGGGGATAATAGGGGTCACTGGAGACTCAGAAGCACTTGGGTGACGCTAAATAATAGGGGTCATTGGGGGGGGTCACAGGAAATAATGGGGGTGATTGAAAATATTGGGGTCATTGGAGACATTGAGGTCACAAGCATCCTGGGGTCACTGAAGATAATAGAGTCACTGAAGACACTGGGGGACACTGGAGACATGAAAACTGGGGTCCTGAAGATAATGGGGTCACTGGCAAATGGAGCCCATCCATGCTCCTAATACCAAGCAGGCTACTCACTGATGATGTCACATCTTTGGTAAAACTTTATTCAACCACAAACAGTGCACAGTATATCCCTGCCTGAGAAAGGTCCAGCATGTTTCATCCCTTGGGTCGCAGGCAACTCTCATGCTGTACACTGTTTTTGGTTGAGTAAAGTATTTACAAAGAAGCGACGTCATCGGGGTGAAGCCTGCAGTCTGTGTTTTTATGTCACTGGGGAGCCGTAGATGGGGCGCACAGCCGGTCATAGAAGTGATTGCTTGGAAACCCCTGGACTTGTGGAAACCCCAATCCCTCATTGTATCTGTGCTCACCCACGCATGCGCACATACACATTTCCCTGAATTGGACACTTCCACCATTGGCCATATAGAATGTTTCAGATTCATTCCTGTTCCTTCACTTGAATGAATTTGGCTTCTGGCAGCACTGTGTCCGCTTTCCCACAGGCGGGTGATGGACACTTGTGAAGCTGAGGATGCAGAGACACTTGTGGAATGTTATCAGTTCCTGTTAGAAGAGGTTGTGCTGAAATTGGGGTCAGTGACCCCCGTGTTGTCAGAGAAGGGACAATGACTCTGGGGACCTTCCACATATTCCTGAGAACGTCCACACTGCGTATTACAACAGACAGGATGACACCCTCTTCTAGCAATTCATCGAAATCATCAGGAATCAACATTTATGTGTCACTTATAAGTGTAAACCTCTTACAGCAAGATACAAGAAAATACCACAAGATGTAAGAAGACACAACAAGATACAGCAAGATGGTGGACGGGGTATACTTGGACAGAGGGGTGGTGGTGGACGTGGTATACTTGGACAGAGGAGTGGCGGTGGACGTGGTATACTTGGACAGAGGAGTGGCTGTGGACGTGGTATACTTGGACAGAGGGGTGGCGGTGGATGTGGTATACTTGGACAGAGGGGTGGCTGTGGACGTGGTATACTTGGACAGAGGAGTGGCGGTGGATGTGGTATATACTTGGACAGAGGGGGGGGGGTGGCGGTGGATGTGGTATACTTGGACAGAGGGGTGGCTGTGGACGTGGTATAATTGGACAGAGGGTGGTGGTGGACGTGGTATACTTGGACAGAGGGGGTGGCGGTGGACGTGGTATACCTGGACAGAGGGGGTGGCGTGGCGGTGGATGTGGTATACTTGGACAGAGGGGTGGTGGTGGATGTGACGTGGTATACTTGGACAGAGGGGTGGCGGTGGACGTGGTATACTTGGACAGAGGGGTGGCGGTGGATGTGGTATACTTGGACATAGGGGTGGCGGTGGACGTGGTATACTTGGACAGAGGGGTGGTGGCGGTGGACGTGGTATACTTGGACAGAGGGGTGGCGGTGGACGTGGTATACTTGGACAGAGGAGTGGCGGTGGATGTGGTATACTTGGACAGAGGGGGGCTGGCGGTGGACGTGGTATACTTGGACAGAGGAGTGGCGGTGGATGTGGTATACTTGGACAGAGGGGTGGCGGTGGATGTGGTATACTTGGACAGGGGTGTGGGGTGGCGGGTATACTTGGACAGTGGTATAATACTTGGATTTTGCAAAAGCGATGGACACAGTTCCCCCACACACGGCTAATGTGTAAGGTAAAGTCTACGGGCTGGAAAAATCTGGATGTAAAATGGATAGAAAAGGCTAAAATATGGTATTCAGAGAGTAGTGGTTAATGATTCATACTCTGAATGGTCTGGGGGTGTCAGTGGTGTACCCCAAGGTTCAGTGTTATTAGTGGGGTACCCCAAGGTTCAGTGTTATAGTAGGGGTACCCCAAGGTTCAGTGTTATTAGTGGGGGTACCCCAAGGTTCAGTGTTATTAGTGGGGTACCCCAGGATTCAGTGTTATTAGTGGGGTACCCCAAGGTTCAGTGTTGGGACCCTTACTTTTTCATAATATATATAAACAATATGGGGTGTGAGATTATAAATCCACATTCCAGTCTTTGCAGATGACACCAAGCTGTGCCGGGAATAATGTCCTGACAGGATGTCTCCAACTTACAAGCCGACCTCAATGGTCTGTGTGAATTGGGAGAGACTATGGGGGCCAATGAGGTTAATATTGATAAATGTAAGGTCTGCACGTGGGGGCTAAAGAATAATGCATGCATCATACATACTAGGGGGGGTACAACTAGGGGGTGTCAATGGTGGAGAAGGATCTGGGGGGTTCAGTGTGGAGAAGGATCTGGGGGGTTCACAAGCCGAGGGTGCTAAAGCAAGCAAAAATCCTCTCTTGTATTAGGAGAGGTATAGACTCCAGAGAGAGATATCATCCCCCCCCCCCCGGGGTACAAATCATTAGTAAGACCTCATCTGGAATATGGCAGTTCAGTTTTGGGCTCCAATTCACAAAAAGAAACATTGGGGGACTGGAGGAAGTAAACAGAGAAGGACAACCAAACTGATACGATGCATGAGGAGATCAGCTATGAGGAAAGATTAGAGGAACTGAATGTATTCTCTTACTGAAAGAGGAGATTAAGGGGGGGATATGATCTCCATGTATAATACATAAGGGGGGGCACTCTGGGGGATATGATCTCCATGTATAATACATAAGGGGGGGGGGACATATCTATGATCTCCATGTGGGGATATAATGTATAATACATAAGGGGGGGGATATGATCTCCATGTATAATACATAAGGGGGGATAAGATCTCCATGTATAATACATAAGGGGGGATAATTAATCTCCATGTAATAATACATAAGGGGGATATGATCTCATGTATTAATTCACATAAGGGGGATATGATCACCATGTATAATACCATATAGGGGGGATATGATCTCCATGTTACTAATACATAAGGGGGATTATGATCTCCACGTATAAGTACATAAGGGGGGTATATGATCTCCATGTATAAAATACATAAGGGGGGGATATGATCTCCATGTATAATACATAAGGGGGATATGATCTCCATGGTAAAATACATAAGGGGGGATATGATCTGCATGTATAATACATAAGGGGGGGTATGATCTCCGTGAATAATACATAAGGGGGGGGATATGATCTCCGTGTATAATACATAAGGGGGATATGATCTCCATGTAATAATACATAAGGGGGGGGATATGATCTCCATGTATAATACATAAGGGGGGATATGATCTCCATGTATAATACATAAGGGGGGGGTGATATAGGATCTCCATGTATAATACATTAAGGAGGGATATGATCTCCATGTATAATACATAAGGGGGGATATGATTATCCATGTATAATACATAAGGGGGGATATGATCTCCATGTATAGATACATAAGGGGGATATGATCTGCATGTATAATACATAAGGGGGGATATGATCTCCGTGTATAAAACATAAGGGGGGGGATTATGATCTCCGTGTATAATACATAAGGGGGATATGATCTCCATGTATAATACATAAGGGGGATATGATCTCCATGTATAATACATAAGGGGGATATGGGAATCTCCATGTATACATACATAAGGGGGGTGATATGAATCTCCATGTATAATACATAAGGGGGTGATATGATCTCCATGTATAATAAATAAGGGGGGATATGATCTGATGTATAATACATAAGGGGGGCTAATGATTGTCAGTCTCCGTGTATAATACATAAGGGGGGGGGGATATGATCTTCCATGTATAATACATAAGGGGGATATGATCTCCATGTATAATACATAAGGGGGATATGATCTCCATGTATAATACATAAGGGGGGATATGATCTCCATGTATAATACATAAGGGGGGGTATGATCTCCATGTATAATACATAAGGAGGGATATGATCTCCATGTATAATACATAAGGGGGGGGGGGGGGGGATATGATCTCCATGTATAATACATTAAGAGGGGGATATGATTCACCATGGTATAATACATAAGGGGGGGGGGATATGATCACCATGTATAATACATAAGGGGGGATATGATCTCCAATTGTATAATACATAAGGGGGATATGATCTCCATGTATAATATATAAGGGGGGGTATATGATCACCATGTATAAGATACATAAGGGGGGCTGGATAAGATCGCTCCATGTATAATACATAAGGGGGGATATGATCTCCATGTATAATACATAAGGGGGATATGAATCCATGTATAATAATATAGGGGGGGCATATGATCACCATGTATAATACATAAGGGGGATATGATCTCCATGTATAATAACATAAGGGGGATAATGATCTCCATGTATAATACATAAGGGGGTGGGGGGGGGATATGATCTCCATGTATAAAACATAAGAGGGGGATATGATCTCCATGTATAATACATAAGGGGGATATGATCTCCATGAGATAATACAATAAGGGGGATATGATCTCCATGTATAATACATAAGGGGGATATGATCTATCCATGTATAATACATAAGAGGGGGATATGATCTCCATGTATAATACATAAGGGGGATATGATCTCCATGTATTAATACATACGGGGGGATATGATCTCCATGTATAATACATGAGGGGGGATATGATCTCCCCTGTATATATACATAAGGGGGGGTATGATCTCCATGTAAATAATACATAAGGGGGGATATGATCTCCATGTATAATACATAAGGGGGGATATGATCTCCATGTAAATACATAAGGGGGGGAATATGGATCTTCATGTATAATACATATGGGGGGGATATGAACTCCATGGTATAATACATATATGAGAGGGATGGGATATGATGTCCATGTATAATACATAAGGGGGGATAGATGATACTCCATGTATAATACATAAGGGGGGGATATGATCTCCATGTAATAATACATAAGTGGGGGGGATATGATCTCCATGTATAATACATAAGGGGGGGATATGATCTCCATGTATAATACATAAGGGGGGGGATATGATCTCCATGTATAATACATAAGGGGGGATATGATCTCCATGTATAAATACATAGGGGGGATATGATCTTCAAGTATAATACATAAGGGGGGATATGATCTCCATGTATAATACATAAGGGGAGGGGATATGAACTCTCCATGTATAATACATAAGGGGGGGATAATGATCTCCATGTATAATACATAAGGGGTGGATATGGATCTCCATGTATAATACATAAGGGGGCGGGATATGATCTCCATGTATAATACATGTAAAGGGGGGATATAGATCTCCATGTTATAATACCCCATGAGGGGGGGGATGATCTCCCTGTATATAATACATAAGGGGGGGGCGGGTATGATCACCATGTAAGTAATAATACATAAGGGGGGATATGACTCCATGTATAATACATAAGGGGGGATATGATCTCCAATGTATAATACATAAGGGGGGATATGATCTTCATGTATAATACATAAGGGGGGAATATGATCTCCATGTATAATACATAAGACCGGGGGATATGATGTCCGCATGTATAAAACATAAGGGGGGATACTGATCTCCATGTATAATACATAAGGGGGGGGGGATATGATCTCCATGTATAATACATAAGGGGGGATAATGATTCTCCATGTATAATACATAAGGGGGGATATGATCTCCAATGTATAATACATAAGGGGGGGGGATATGATCTCCATGTATAATACATAAACGGGGGATATGATCTCCATGTATAATACATAGGGGGGATATGATCTTCATGTATAATACATAAGGGGGGATATGATCTCCATGTAATAATACATAAGGGGGGGGATATGATCTCCATGTATAATAACATAAAGGGGGGATATGATCTCCATGTTATAATACATAGGGGGGGGATATGATCTCCATGTATAATACATAAGGGGGCTATGATCTTCATGTATAATACATAAGGGGGGATATGATCTCCATGTATAATACATAAGGGGGATATGATCTCCATGTATAATACATAAGGGGGGGATATGGTCTCCATGTATAATACATAAGGGGGATATGATCTCCATGTATAATACATAAGGGGGGATATGATCTCCATGTATAAATACATAAGGGGGGTAATATGATCTTCATGTATAATACATAAGGGGGATATGATCTCCATGTATAATACATAAGGGGGGATATGATCACCATGTATAATACATAAGGGGGGGATATGATCTCCATGTAATAATACATAAGGGGGATATGATCTCCATGTATCATACATAAGGGGGGGATAATGATCTCCATGTATAATATAACATAAGGGGGATATGATCTCCATGTGTAATACATAAGGGGGATATGATCTCCATGTATAATACATAAGGGGGGGATATGATCTCCATGTATAATAACATAAGGGGGGATAATATGATCTCCATGTGTAATTACATAAGGGGGGGGTATGATCTCCATGTATAATTCATAAGGGGGGATCAGTGTTTCCATGTATAATACATAACTCGGTGTAGTTATTCCCCCTGAGGTCAATCACAGAGGACAAGGGGGCGCTCTATACGTCTGGAGGAAAAGAGATGTAATCTCCCATGTATAACACGGATAGTTTCTTCACAGTATAGATACGTGTGAGGATGTGGAAATAGATCGCTCCAGAGTATGGTTGTGACAGCTCAGTGGATCTGATTGCTGTAGGAAAGTCCTGGATTCTTTCTTGGATACACAGATTATAAACTGGATATACATTAATAGGGAAAGTTGATCCCGGGAATATCCGATTGCCTCTCGGGGGTTCAGGAAGGAATGTTTCCCCTGCAGGAGGAGATTGATCGTGCTTTGCTGGGTTTTTTTTCTCCTTCCTCTGGATCCACTGTGGGTGTAGGATTATAACTTTTTTTGTTTTAATTAAGGCTGAACTGGATGGACTTTTGTCTTTTTTATAAAACCGGTACTAACTATGTAACTATATGTAACCAGATGCAAAAGATACCACAAGATAATACAAGACACAAGAAGATACAATGAGATGCAACAAAATGCAGCAAGATATATCCCAGTATAATAAGCCCCCCATTCATACTGACGGCCCGATTGGGTCCATATGTCAGTTTTTTAAGACGGACTCGATCGGACAATCCATGCACCTCTATGGACCGATGGGGTGTCAGCGTTAAGTGACCGGTGACAAGTCCACCGGCATCTGATTCGATCCTCTACACCAAAAACAGGCGGATGGGGAGATGGGTGTCGGGAGAAGGAGGAGTGCAGGAGATGGGTGTCGGGAGAAGAGGAGGAGTGCAGGAGATGGGTGTCGTGAGAAGGGGAGTGCAGGAGATGGGTGTCGGGAGAAGGAGGAGTGCAGGAGATGGGTGTCGGGAGAAGGAGGAGTGCAGGAGATGGGTGTCGGAAGAAGGAGGAGTGCAGGTGATGGGTGTCGAGAGAAGGAGGAGCGCAGGAGATGGGTGTCAGGAGGAGGAGTGCAGGAGATGGGTGTCGGAAGAAGGAGGAGTGCAGGAGATTTTGTGTCGGGAAGAAGGAGGAGTGCAGGAGATGGGTGTCGGGAGAAGGAGGAGTCAGTGCAGGAGATGGGTGTCGGGAGAAGGAGGAGTGCAGGAGATGGGTGTCGGGAGGAGGAGTGCAGGAGATGGGTGTCGGGAGAAGGAGGAGTGCAGGTGATGGGTGTCGAGAGAAGGAGGAGCGCAGGAGATGGGTGTCAGGAGAAGGAGGAGTGCAGGAGATGGGTGTCGGGAGAAGGAGGAGTGCAGGAGATTTTGTGTCGGGAGAAGGAGGAGTGCAGGAGATGGGTGTCGGGAGAAGGAGGAGTGCAGGAGATGGGTGTCGGGAGAAGGAGGAGTGCAGGAGATGGGTGTCGGGAGAAGGAGTGCAGGAGATGGGTGTCGGGAGAAGGAGGAGTGCAGGAGATGGGTGTCGGGAGAAGGAGGAGTGCAGGAGATGGGTGTCGGGAGAAGGAGGAGTGCAGGAGATGGGTGTCGGGAGAAGGAGGAGCGCAGGAGATGGGTGTCGGGAGAAGGAGGAGCGCAGGAGATGGGTGTCGGGAGAAGGAGGAGCGCAGGAGATGGGTGTCGGGAGAAGGAGGAGTGCAGGAGATGGGTGTCGGGAGAAGCAGGAGGAGCGCAGGAGATGGGTGTCGGGAGAAGGAGGAGCGCAGGAGATGGGTGTCGGGAGAGAAGGAGGAGCGCAGGAGATGGGTGTCGGGAGAAGGAGGAGTGCAGGAGATGGGTGTCGGGAGAAGGAGGAGCGCAGGAGATGGGTGTCGGGAGAAGGAGGAGCGCAGGAGATGGGTGTCGGAAGAAGGAGGAGCGCAGGAGATGGGTGTCGGGAGAAGGAGGAGTGCAGGTGATAGGTGTCGGGAGAAGGAGGAGTGCAGGAGATGGGTGTCGGGAGAAGGAGGAGTGCAGGTGATGGGTGTCGGGAGAAGGAAGAGTGCAGGAGATGGGTGTCGGGAGAAGGAGTGCAGGAGATGGGTGTCGGGAGAAGGAGGAGTGCAGGAGATGGGTGTCGGGAGAAGGAGGAGTGCAGGAGATTTTGTGTCGGGAGAAGGAGGAGTGCAGGAGATGGGTGTCGGGAGAAGGAAGAGTGCAGGAGATGGGTGTCGGGAGAAGGAGGCGTGCAGGAGCTCCTGGAATAAAGACCGCCTCCGGTGACCGGGCTTGTCTCTGCCCCATCCTGTAGTTTTCTGTAGTGGGTGGGGCCTGTTGGGCCCCTCCCACAGCTTCGCTTTCTGCACAGCCTATGTACAGCTCAGTGATGATGTTTGCTACTTTTACAAAGTAAAATCTGGGTTTGCAAAGGAATTTGGGGCACAGAAAACATTTTCTGTCCTTTGTGGCTATTGAGTATGTTTGTGTGAAATTTTTTTGCTCCCAGAGTTCAGCTGTAAATGGCAAAAACCTCCGTCCTGCGCGCCGTGCACCTTGCACCTCGCACTGCGCACCTCATACACCGCGAACATCCCTTGCACCTCGCACCGCGCACCTCGCACCAGTTACCGTGCACCTCGCACCGCGCAAGCTCGTACCTTGCACCGCACATCTCACACCTCGCAACACGCAGTTTGCACCTCCCACCACGTAAATTGCACCGCACACTTCGCACCGCACATCTCACACCTCGCACCGCACAGTTCCCAGCTTGCACCCCACTGCACATCTCACACCGCGAACATCGCACCTTGCACCTCGCACTGCACACTTCGCACCGCACATCTCACACCTTGCACGGCACATCTCACACTCGCACCGCACATCTCACACCGCGAACATCGCACCTTGCACCTCGCACTGCACACTTCGCACCGCACATCTCACACCTCGCACCGCACAGTTCCCAGCTCGCACCCCGCACCGCACATCTCGCACCTCGTACTGTGCACCGCCAGAGTCGCAGGGTTTTCCATTCTGCATTCTGACAATTCCCACAACAATGGCCGCACATCTCCATATTCACGCTCCGGGACACAAATCTTCTCAGCGGAAACGTCTGGAAAGCAGCAAACGTGGAATTTCAAACATCTCCCCGATATCCAGAGGAGGTAAAAATACTCCTCATCGCGTTTCGGCTTCACTTCCTAAACAAGAGCGCCGGAGATACAGAAAGGAATCTGCACCAGGGAATTCACTACTTTGGGGGGAAAAGTCAGAGGGGGGGGGTCACTCTGCAGGCAGCATTTCCTCAGTCTCCCCTCCCCCAGTGATCAGACTGTACACTGTAACTTTGTAGAAGGAGGAGGAGGCATTTCCTCAGTCCCCTCCCCCAGTGATCAGACTGTACACTGTAACTTTGCAGAAGGAGGAAGAGTCATTTCCTCAGTCACCCCTCCCCCAGTGATCAGACTGTACATTGTAACTTTGTAGAAGGAGGAGGAAGCATTTCCTCAGTCTCCCCTCCCCCAGTGATCAGACTGTACATTGTAACTCTGTAGAAGAAGGAGGAAGTATTTCCTCAGTCTCCCCTCCCCCCGTGATCAGACTGTACATTGTAACTTTGTAGGCACAAGGTTAGAGGCTGCAGCAGGGGCTGCCATGTAGACTTTGAAGCTGCTTATATTTGACCTCCCCTGCCCCAACTGCACTGCATGACACTACACAGAGACAGATGTGCATTACTGTGCTGGTCTGTTAGCAGCCACTCTACTGTGTGCTGATGGCATCACTGGGTCCCTGCGCTTCACTATGCAATACAAGGTCATGGCTGGTGGGAGGGGCCAGCTGGGGGCTGTACATAGCTTCCTGAAAACATGCCAATACCCCGACTCAGTGCTACTCTCAAGTGCCCTCAGTCCTGATACAAGCAGTGGGTGGGCTTTTGGGAAGAGTTATGCAAATATGCTTGCTTACCCCCCCAAGTAACCTTGACTGTCCATGATTGAAATAACTGAAATCCAATTAACGAAAAGGGCGGGGCCAGGCACAGTCAGGCTGGGGGAGGGGAGAGCTTGATGATACTGGATGTCCTCCAGCCAGGAAATGGGGTGGAGCTCTATCTGACTGGCTGCAGCTTCTAATGCACACTGTGAGATGCTCCCAGTGTGCAGTGACATCAGAGAAGACATTTCAGTCCAGGGGAGGAGCTGGTACACCTGTGCAAGACTGAAGGGGAGGGGCAGATACATCTGTGCAATACTGAAGGGGAGGAGCCAGTACACCTGTGCAAGACTGGAAGGGGAGGAGCCGATACACCTGTGCAATACTGAAGGGGAGGAGCCGATACACCTGTGCAGTACTGAAGGGGAGGAGCCAGTACACCTGTGCAAGACTGGAAGGGGAGGAGCCTGTACACCTATGCAAGACTGAAGGGGAGGAGCCAATATACCTGTGCAATACTGGACGGGTTGGAGCCGATACACCTGTGCAGTACTGAAGGGGAGGAGCCAGTACACCTGTGCAAGACCGAAGGGGAGGAGCAGATACATCTGCAGTACTGAAGGGGAGGAGCCGGTACACCTGTGCAAAACTGAAGGGGAGGAGAGGAGCCGGTACACCTGTGCAAGACTGAAGGGGAGGAGCCGATACACCAGTGCAATACTGAAGGGGAGGAGCTGGTACACCTGTGCAAGACTGAAGGGGAGGAGCCGGTACACCTGTGCAAGACTGAAGGGGAGGAGCCGGTACACCTGTGCAAGACTGAAGGGGAGGAGCCGGTACACCTGTGCAAGACTGAAGGGGAGAGCCGATACACCAGTGCAATACTGAAGGGGAGGAGCTGGTACACCTGTGCAAGACTGAAGGGGAGGAGCCGGTACACCTGTGCAAGACTGAAGGGGAGGAGCCGGTACACCTGTGCAAGACCGAAGGGGAGGAGCCGGTACACCTGTGCAAGACTGAAGGGGAGGAGCCAGTACACCTGTGCAAGACCGAAGGGGAGGTTAGAAGGGGGATTTAAATATAGATAGAATTGGTAGTAACAGATCAAAGATATGATGCAGGCGATGAGCCTCTATAATGCAGCGGTCGGCGGCGGCGGCACATTCTATATTGCAGCGACTCCTCTATATCGCGGCGGGCGGCGGCGGCACACTTTATATTGCGGCGGTCGTCGGCGGCACACTCTATATTGCGGCGGTCGGCGGCACACTCTATATTGCGGCGGTCAGCGGCGGCACACTCTATATTGCGGCGGTCGGCGGCACACACTCTATATTGCGGCGGTCGGCGGCACACTCTATATTGAGGCGGTCGGCACACTCTATATTGCGGCGGTCGGCGGCGGCACACTCTATATTGCGGCGGTCGGCGGCGGCACACTCTACAATGCGGCGGTCAGCGGCGGCACACTCTATAATCCGGCGGCTCCTCTATATCGCGGCGGCGGCACATTCCATGCGATGAGATCATGCGCAGCCTATTTATTTTAGAGTTCGCAGAGCGTTTCCTGCTGTTCGGCTTCACCGTCTTCCTCCGTCCTCCAGCCGGGACGTCTTGTTTTTCCTCCCTCTCCCGGCCCGTCTCCGGACAGACGATCCTCACCTCTCTGTGGCGTCCTCTGTGCAACGCCTCTGCGCTTTACATTCTCTGCACCCCCCCCCCCCCCCCCTCCACCCCCCCCCGCAGCTGGAATGCAGATGTTTTATCAATCGGACGATAATGGCTTTTATTTTATAAGGATCCATAAAACCTCCTGATGGCCGTATAAGGGAAAAGGTCGGATTAAACCATTAAAGGTTCCTCCCGGCGGGGATTGGCGTCAGTTTATGGCCCGGCGTGTTCTGGAGGAGGAAAAACTGCAACGTGACGAGGAGCGCAAACCCAGCGGGTTATTTATTGCAGAAAAAATGAATCTATAGCAAAAGACAAGATGTATATACTGTACAATATAGATATATAAAGAGGAAGAAGATGGGGATTTACAAAAGGATGAACTTTGATGAATAATATAACACAATATTATAATAAAAACATAATGATGGTAAATAGCTCAACATATAAACTAAATATAATGAACACAAATATGATAATAAAAATGGATGGAAATCTATAAATAAAATTTACTAATATTATAAAAAATATACCAATAGTTAATATAAATAATATAACATAAACTAGAGGCATATTATTTAAGTAATAAATATAATATAAAAATAATAATATAACAATATACAAAAATGGATGAAAATCGATAAGTAAAATAATATAATACAAATATAATAATAGTAAATATAGACAATATAACATAAACTAGATGTGTATTATTTAAATAATAAATCTAATATACAAATAATAATAATTTGTGCCATTGGCGCAGTAAAGGCTTCTTTCTGGCAACTCGGCCATGCAGCTCATTTTTGTTCACGTACCGTCGTATTGGGCTCCTTGAGACAACCACACCATCTTTTTCCAGAGCAGCCTGGATTTCTCCTGAGGTGACATGTGGGGGGTTTTCTTTGTATCCAGGACAATTCTCCTGGAAGTTGTGGCTGCGATCATTCTTGGTCTCCCTGACCTTGGCGTGGTATCAAGAGATCCCCAAATTTTCCTCTAGATTGGGTTGTCAGCACCCAGGGCATGTCATGGACTTGTAGCCCTCCAAGTCCCTGGTACTGTTCATGCTACTGGGGGGGGAGTCACCTCCTCAGCTCTGAGGGGCTCATGCTGTGACTTCTAGACTTTCAATTTTGGGGGAGTCACGACCTTTAAAAGTGAAGGACCACAAGTCCCAGCATGAACATCTGAGATCCAAGCATGTGACCCCTTAGATCTCAGGAGTTGGGGGGGGGGGTGTCCTCAGCTCTCAGGGGTGCATGCTGGAACTTGTAGTTCTTTACTTTTAGAGAGGTCGCATCCACCAAAAGTGAAGGACCACAAGTCCCAGCCTGAACCTCTGAGATCTAAGGACGTGGCCTCCTCCTCCCCCTCTGAGGGCACTCTGTTGTCCAACACCAGCTCAGCTGCCGTCCTCTCTGTCCCCCGCATCGGCAGCTCCCTCATGACAGCCCAACTGGTTCTTTCCCTGGTCTCCCCCCACAGACTCAAATCCAGTTCCCGCCTCCCCTTTCTGGGCAGCTGCTGCCGCAGAAGCTGGCATCACTGGTTGCTAGACACCAGGTGGTCCTAGCAACCGAACAGCCAGCAGCGGATCCTGGACTCAGCTGGGACACAAACATTAGTACTATGAGTAAAGCGGCGGCCTTTTTTGGGGGGCGTCCGAGCGGCCCGAGCGGGACAGGTACATGTTACAATGTATTCCCCTCCCCCCTGAAATGCCCCCCATGTTGTCATGTTACAATGTATTCCCCTCCCCCCTGAAATGCCCCCCATGTTGTCATGTTACAATGTATTCCCCTCCCCCCTGAAATGCCCCCCATGTTGTCATGTTACAATGTATTCCCCCCTCCCCCCTGAAATGCCCCCCATGTTGTCATGTTACAATGTATTCCCCTCCCCCCTGAAATGTCCCCCACGTTGTCATGTTACAATGTATTCCCCCCCCCCCCCCATGTTGTCATGTTACAATTATATCCCCCCCCCATGTTGTCATGTTACAATGTATCCCCCCCATGTTGTCATGTTACAAAACGTATCCCCCCCTGAAATGTCCCCCATGTTGTCATGTTACAATGTATTCCCCCCCCCCATGTTGTCATGTTATAATGTATGTCCCCCCCTGAAATGTCTCCCATGTTTTCATGTTACAATGTATTCCCCCCCCCCTGAAATGTACCCCATGTTGTCATGTTATAATGTATGTCCCCCCCCTGAAATGTCTCCCATGTTGTCATGTTACAATGTATTCCCCCCCCCCCCCCACCGCCCCCCCCCCCAATGTTGTCCTGTACCTGTTGCTGACTCTCCCCCTCCCGTACCTGTTACCGATTCTGTGTCTCCTGTACCTGTTGCTGACTCTCCCCTGTGTCTCTTGTGCTGTGGCTGACTCTGATTGTGTCCCTGTACCTGAAATGTTCCACTGGGTGGCACAGGAATTCTTAGGGGTCACTGGGTGATGCAGATTCTCTGCTGTATCTCCTGTACCTGTTGCTGACTATCCCCTGTCTCCCGTACCTGTACTGATGTTCTGTGTCTCCTGTACCTGTTCCTGACTCTCCCTGTCTCCTGTACCTGTTACTGACTCTCACTGTGTCTCTGTACCTGTTACTGACTCTTCCCTGTCTCCTGTACCTGTTGCTGACTCTCCCTGTATCTCCTGTACCTGTTGCTGACTCTCTCTGTGTCTCCTGTACCTGTTACTGACTCTCCTGTGTCTCCTGTACCTGTTACTGACTCTCACTGTGTCTCCTGTACCTGTTACTGACTCTCCCCTTCTCTCCTGTACCTGTTACTGACTCTCACTGTGTCTCCTGTACCTGTTACTGACTCTCCCCTCCTGTACCCTGTCTCCTGTACCTGTTACTGACTCTCTCTGTGTCTCTGTACCTGTTACTGACTCTCCCTTCTCTCCTGTACCTGTTACTGACTCTCACTGTGTCTCCTGTACCTGTTACTGACTCTCTCTGTGTTTCCTGTACCTGTTACTGACTCTCTCTGTGTCTCCTGTACCTGTTACTGACTCTCCTCTGTGTCTTCCTGTACCTGTTACTGACTCTCTCTGTGTCTCCTGTACCTGTTACTGACTCTCCCCCTGTGTCTCCTGTACCTGTTACTGACTCTCCCTGTGTCTCCTGTACCTGTTACTGACTCTCTCTGTGTCTCCTGTACCTGTTACTGACTCTCTCTGTACTGTGTCTCCTGTACCTGTACCTGTTACTGACTCTCTCTGTGTCTCCTGTACCTGTTACTGACTCTCTCTGTGTCTCCTGTACCTGTTTACTGACTCTCTCTGTGTCTCCTGTACCTGTTACTGACTCTCCCCTTCTCTCCTGTACCTGTTACTGACTCTCCCCTGGTCTCTCCTGTACCTGTTACTGACTCTCTCCTGTCTCTCCTGTACCTGTTACTGACTCTCCCCCCCCTGTCTCCTGTACCTGTTACTGACTCTCCCTGTGTCTCCTGTACCTGTTACTGACTCTCCCTGTGTCTCCTGTACCTGTTACTGACTCTCTCTGTGTCTCCTGTACCTGTTACTGACTCTCTCTGTGTCTCCTGTGTACCTGTTCACTGACTCTCTCTGTGTCTCCTGTACCTGTTGGGTCACTGGGTGATACAGGATCCCACTGGGGTCATTGAGTGACACTGGATTCTCAGGGGTCATTGGGTGACACTGAATTCTCAGGGGTCATTGGGTGACACTGAATTCTCAGGGGTCACTGGGTGATGCAGATTCTCAGGGGTCAATGAGTGACTCAGGGATCTCAGGGGTCACTGGGTGACACAAGATTCTCTCGGGGGTCATTGGGTGATGCAGGGTGTGTCTCAGGGGTCACTGGGGTCAGTGGCACAGGATTCTCAGGGGTCATTGGGTGATTAGGATTCTCAGGGGTCACTGGGTGACACAGGGTTCTGGGTTGGTGTGCAGGGTTCTCAGGGTCACTGGGTGACACAGGATTCACAGGGGTCATTGGAGTGATGCAGGGTTCTCAGGGGTCACTGAGTGATTCTCAGGGGTCATGGGTTCAGGGTTCTCAGGGGGTCACTGAGTGATGCAGGGTTCTCAGGTTCTCAGAGGGTTCTCAGGGGTCTTGAGTGATGCAGGGTTCTCAGGGGTCACTGGGTGATGCAGGTTCTCAGGGGCGTCACTGAGTGATGCAGGGTCACTGGGTGATGCAGGGATTCTCAGGGGTCAGGGGTCACTGAGTGATGCAGGGTTCTCAGGGGTCATCTCATGGGGATGCAGGGTTCTCAGGGGTCACTGGGATGCAGGGTTCTCAGGGATCACTGTGATGCAGGGTTCTCAGGGGATCACTGGTGATGCATGCTCAGGGGTTCTCAAGGGTCATTGGAGTGATGCAGAGGTTCTCAGGGGT